ACATCTTCTGAAGCTTTACTTTGAAATGTACGTATGCATATATTAGGTCAAGGTAGAAGTAAAATAAGATCTAATATAAAAACATGTATTGAATATTCCCAGAACCAGTAAAGGCCAGTGAGATGAAAAAATCTTAATGAAAGTGATCGTCTTTCTTAAAATAGGTCCCAGTTTCAACGGAATTCAAATAAAACCAGTGATCACTCGTTATGCAATGAAATTTTGTAAGTTACTTAAAACTTTCATTTTTCATCTGTAGAAAATATAGGATTACACAATTTCGTGTCTTCGTGGACGAAAAATGTAAATCATCCGTTAGTTTTCATTTTATACATTTACAACACTCGTTAGAAGGTAAATAAGAATATTTTATAACCGTTTTTTGAACTTTGATATTGAAAAGTCAATGAGAATCGAAGATGACTAACATTGTTAAATAACTTTTTATGATCAAATCTAAGAGTTCACGATGCATGTATTATTTTTTTCAATTCTCTAACTGACTGATTTACGACTGTAACATGGAATTATTATTGCAGAATGAAATAAGTGATAAATCATCGGACGATGATTTTTCTCGTTCTCTTCAACGAGATTGGTTGGATCATCGCACGATTCTGATTCACGCTCGCAAGTTCAAGTTTCAACAACCGATCATCCCGTGATAACGCTGCGCACCACTATGATTCGTGATATCATTCATACCTAATTTCTGTTAGCTAACAACCGAGTATAAATACTCACACATTCACGTTTCATATTTTCCACTTGGATTAAAGATAAATCTAAAAATCTGGTTATATTATTATATTTCACACCTGATAATTTATTATTATTATTAGTAGTAATAGTTTTTAGTAGTAAATTTTGATTAGAATCAGGCATGACGTTTAGCATAATCTTTATGCCAAGGCCAAATAAATCTAAAAATCTGTATTCAATTTCACACCTGATAAATGAAGCATAAAGGCTAAAACTAAATCTGTATATTAAAGGAGAACAGACAGATTAATAAAGATTACAGCTTGTAAGCTTGACTGTAGGGAGAAGACTGTACATACATACATTAAGCCTAATAAGGCGAGGGTGGTTAATGAGCATATATACAATATTAAAGGTGAACAGGTGTAGTCATTTTCAGTATCAACAATTTGAATAGACTCTTACTCACGATTATCTTAATTTACTCTGTGTTTCGCCTCATTCACTGTTCCACACCATGACCCACTTTTCCTAATCACTATCAGCCTCCTTTCTCTTTTCCATCTCGGCTGCAGCCTTTTAGACGGTCAGTACCGCTTTTATCCTGGCCCTTACTCAAATTTTCATCCCTGCCACAGAATTTCAACCTACAGTCCATAGCAACTCGTTACGTTAACGAACATTCATTTAAAAAGAACTGGAACGAATGATTAACAACAAATATCTCTAATTTCTTCCTTGCTTGACATAATCAGAGTGGCTTATTGTTCACTTGGAAAACATTCTGGCCATTAGAATGCTTCTTCATTCATTAATTGAGAAAGTTTGTTTTGAAAGTGGAGTAAGTCCACTTATCCAAAAAATCGAGCTAGCCATTTTAAGGATGTTTTGGCTATACAGTCAATCCCAAAAGTTTATGTACTTCAGAAAAACGCATTTCCTATAGTTAAAAAGAAATCAGACGTCGGAAGAATAATGTTAATAATAAATACCTACGTGCTAAAAAGTATAGAAGGAAATATCCAATTAAGTATTGACGCTGACAAAATTTTTTTTTCAAAATTGCGAAAAATGCTTCAAATAAAAGTTGTTTTCCTTCTAACTTCGATATTTAACGAGTTACGTATGATTATTTGGCATTTTATTGATGTTGACAAAATCCGACCATCCCAGCGTCGAAATGGTGAACTTTTGCAAAAAATTTCGTTTTTCCTTAATTACTCCTAAACCGTTGAATTAACGGGAAAATTGTATACGACCTTTCTTGTAGAGGACGACGAGATCTACAATTCCTGTATAAAAGTTTTTCGCTAGCATTAATAGTTTACGAGTAATTTACGAAAAACGAAAAAACAGTTTTTTGCAAATAACTCGTAAACTATCGACGCTAATGAAAAGTTCTTAGACGGAAATTGTAGATTTCGTCGTCCTCTACAAAATAACCCTAAACATTTTTTCGTAGGACCAACGGTCTGGGAGTTATTCACAAAAAACGAAAATTTCGCGAAATCTGAAG